CCAATAGTTATTCCTCTGAAGAATTGAATGACAGTGATTGGCCAGTTTCATAATTACGGGTCATCAAAAAAGGATGCCATAAAAGACGCGCGAAAAGGACGCTGTGTTTACGTTTGCGCACGTCACAATTTTAAAATCACGCCTAGCGAAACGGTTTTTCCAGGTTGCGCGATAACAAGTCAAAAGTGTAGGAATTGCAACGCTCCGTACACCATGAAAGACTGACTAATACATAAGACTTCTACTTTCCGAGAGTTAGACGAGATGCAAGCAAAAATTGAGACATGGACGGAATTGATACAGTTGGGGAAATTGCAAGATGTGTCGGAGGATATTCAGGTATGCTCTTTCTCATTTAAAATACTAGCCCTACATTTGTGAATACAATTTTTCTGTTAATATCTTTCAGATGACTATCCGCGTGCGATCCAACGGTATACTCAATGACAGTTTATTTAAATTACTACTACGTTTATGTTACGTGGCAGATGAATATAACAAATATAATGAACAGAACTGCGAGACTGTGAAGAGTATTGCTATATTAGCTAAATTACTTTGTTCGTTGCTGATCAAGGTACCTAATGACAACAACTTTGTCAAAGCTGTATTTAAAATTGTTCAGTGTTTAATTTCTTTTAACTTATATGAGGACGCGGCAGAGATCTGTTGTTACTTGAAACCAGGCAATTTATATAATCCTCAAGACAACACCATAAATCTTGTGATAAAAGTATTAGACTTATGGCGTTTTTTTCTTAATAATATATATATTACTCTTAAAAAGGAATCCTTGAACACAGAGAATTATAATAAGCTGAAAAGTGTCCTGAAGTATGAAATGGAAATGATGCAGATAGCATATAAAAATTATACGAAACATTTAATTATGGAGATAAGTATATATTTGGACAGAATAGCAGTACTTGATAAGGACACAAAATATTTTGATGACTTTTGTAAATATATATTGGAATACTTGTCAGGATTGCAGTTGTATTTAGACAAGGATGAGAAATACTTAATCTATCGTTATATACTTCGTATCATGTGCCATATAATATGTAAGACTATTAATACAACTCATATCGAATCTGCAGTAGCAACATTAGATGAATTATCTAGTTATTTTGAGACTCCTATGGCAGAAGACGAGGAATGCTACCAATCTTTTCAGCAATTTCAAAGCTTGTGTATGAATCTTTTAGTGCCAATAAAAAATCTTGTCAAGGATAATGCCAAAAATGTACAAAATATTATTTATTGTAACTTGAATATTATGCAAAAATATGGATATGAAAGTCTTAAATGGAATGCAATCCATATTGCAGAGATAGTTGAACCAATGTTTACGTACTGGGAAAAATGTATGGAAACTGATAAACACATCATGCTCAAGCACTTGCTTGATACTGGCATCTTGCTAGAACTAATGAATTTATTTGTACAAATACATGTAGATGAGTTTTATGTCAAGCAAGTGTCAATCAAATGTAAATGGTGCCAGGACAAATTGTGCACAATTAAGAGGGATTTATACAATGCTGTAGTGATGAAATGTAGATGTATTAGTTTATTATGTAACTTTCCTGTTAAAACTTTGTCGGCCGAGGTGTGTGCTCTTAGCAGAAAAATCTTGGAACAGAACGTCGAATCGATTATTCGTGAAATGAAAGAAACCGAATGTAAGCGTTGGACGCAATCTTGGAATAGTTGTCGTAATTTAATTTATAATATAGGTGTACTATCTGAGCATGTGTATGAAGAAGGCGTACATCTGTTCTCCTTTTTATGTACTTGCATGTTTCAATTCAAATTAATTGAATCAAATTCTATATATTTTGAAAATTCCAAAAACTATGAAAATATTTTTTCTTTTGCATTGCACAGATTAAGTGTTATGTATTACAATAACAATATGTATAGGAAAGCGATGACAGTATGTGCATTGAATGCTTTGTTAACTTATAATCAGTCGAATACAAAAGCTTTTCGTATATGGATAAATATTAAGAAAAATGCTTCTGAAGAAATTGCAAACTTAACTATGCTAGATTGCTTGACAAATGATAAGGACAAGATAAAGAATGAACTGGGATTTTCACTCGATATTTCCAAGTATGACTGTATTGAATTGTGTTTAAGTGAAGTAAAAAATTTGCTGGTGGAACAGATCACATTTACAAATGGTGTGGCAGCAGTTCTAGAAAAACTTAGAAAACTACAGCCAAGTAATCAATATGCACACACAGTGCAATTATTAGGATATTATTTCTTAGGTTTCACACCACATGATAGTTCTATTCTGAAATATCATGAGCAAGCTATATGTGATTTGAAGCAAGATAAGTCAAATTCTGTGGCCGTTTTGTGCTTGGAAGCTAACTTAAGTCTTTTTATGTTTGTGGAGGAGTTGCATATAATGAATAAGCAAACTCAGCTGGAAATGGAAAGTACAAAATTTGCTTTATGTGCTCCCAAGTTACGAGAACTAGCTGAAATCAATTCTCCAAATGTAGTGCCTGCTTATAGTATGATAAACGTTAGAAAAGATACCAATCTTATGTTGTGTCTACAAAAATGTTTACAAAAGTGGAAGCAACTATTTAAGTGCCATTTTGTAAGTTATTAGAAAATATTTATTGCGTTCAACTATTATTAGTTTTGCAGTTCAGTAATCGTATGTCATTGTTCACAGAAAAAAATTGTCAAAAATTGGGAACCTAATCTTATACTTCGCATGCTGATAACAGCTGGTGAATATGCTCGATTATATCGGTATGAACATTGTGAAGCTGAAGTATGGACTTTGGCGTATAAGTTAGCGTCAGAAATGAATGATTATACAATTATTTATAGTATGTTGAGCCATTTATAATAATTTAGAAAAAAAAAATTTTATGGATGAGCTAATATGAATTCTATTACAGTTACAAGT